CCCCACCTCCCCGCCCCAAAATATGTGTTGAATTCCTGATCCTGCTAACTGTGGGTATGACCCTATTTGGAAATAGGGTTTACTTTTGTTATGTTAAGAGCTCATAACAGGGTAGGGTGGATTCTAAACCTAATGACTTCTGTTTTACAAAAAGACCAGAATAGAAACAGACACTCATACATGGGGGAGGACTGAAGTCCTGTGAGGATTGCTTACAAGCCAAGGAATGCAAGAAACCTAGGAATGCCCAGGACTATCCACAAGGAAGGAACTGACGTGGCTGAGATTCTGATTTGAACTTTTAGCCTTCAGACTGTGAGAAAATAAATACCTGTTCTTTAATGCCACCCATTTGTGGTATTTGTGTTGCAGCAGCACTAAGGAACTAAGACAAAAAGCATAAAAGGTAGGAGAGGAATAATGAGTTAAAATATTTTAAAGTAGTTTCATTTTCCAGGTTGGAATGAAAATGCAAATTAATAGATATAATAATGATGCATGTTATAAATTCTAGGCCCACCATAAATGAAGATTTTAAGAATACATAACTGACAAGCAATTAGAGGAAGTAATGAATAACACTAATAAAAATAATCTGATTAATACAAAGGAAAGAAATAGAGTAGGGGAAAAAACAATGAAACACAGATTGAATGAACAAGAAACAAATAGTACAGTCATAGTACTAAAACTAACTATATCATTAAATGTGAATGGAATAAACACTCTAATTAAAAGAGACTGTAATACTAGATTAGGAAAAAACAAAGTTATCTGGGATCAATTGTATATTTCTTACAAAAAAATTAACTTTACTTTACTATAAATAACAGATTCAAAATGAAATTTTGGTCAAATATATACTGTCTTGGTCATCTAGTGCTGCTATAACAGAAATACTGCAAGTGGATGGCTTTAACAAAGAGAAATTTATTGTCTCACAGTCTAGTAGGCTAGAAGTCCAAATTCAGGGTATCAGCTCCAGTGGAAGGTTTTCTCTATCTTTTGGCTCTAGGGGAAGGTCCTTGTCATCAATCTTCTCGTGTTCTAGAAGCTTCTCTGTGCAGGATCCTTGAGTCCAAAGGATGTGCTCTGCTCTTGGCACTGCTTTCTTGGTGGTATGAGGTCCCCATCTCTCTCTGCTTACTTCTCTCTTTTATATCTAAAAAGAGACTGGCTTAAGATACTATCTAATCTTGTAGATCTCATCAATATGACTGCCACTAATCCATCTCATTACATCATAGTGATAGAATTTACAACACATAGGGAAATCACGTCAGATGACAAAATGGTAGACAGTCATACAATACTGGGAATCATGACGTAGCCGAGTTGACAGATATTTTGGGGGGACACAATTTAATCCATGACATATACAATACAAATATGATCTGAAAGAAAGCTAAGGTCACTATACTAATATTAGACAATCCAGAATTTATTGCAAGAAAACTTACAAGGGAAAAAGAAATTGCATAATGATAAAACTGTTAATTCAACAGGTAGATATAAGGCTAAATTTATATACAACTAGTAACATGGTCTCAAAATATATAAACTGAAAACTATCAGAACTAAAAGAAGAAATAGATAAGCCTATAATCATACCATAATCTTGGTAACTGATAAAAATCAATAAGTGTTACAGAAGATTTGAACAACATGATTAACCAACATGACCTAAAAAACATAGGAATATAGCAATTCTTTTAATAACTTATTGGTAAAATAAATGAAAATTTGAAAAACTTTAAATACAGTTAATATCTGTGTATTCAATATTTTGAGTAATAAAATTATGATATTGTAATGCAGATAAATTTAAACAGTGTTTAGAAGAAAATTTATAATCTGTAAAGTATATCTTTGGGAAAAGAAAAGGTTGGGCAATCCATAATCTAAACATCAAGCTCAATAAGTTGGAAAAAAAGTGGAAATTAAACAAAAAAAAAGAAGAAAAATGGAATAAAATAGAAACCAGTATGCAGAATACTATAGAGCAATGTAAAAAGACAGATCACAGTAAGAGTTATCTAGTGTATGATTTCTTTCATATGAAAAAAATATTTAAAGGCAAATTTATCTCTGGTGATTTTTGTTAGAATAACCCTTACCTTTGATGGGGAAGAATCATGATTGAAATGAGGCAGGTGCTAGAGCACTGATCATATTCTAGATCTTGCTCTGGGTGGTGGTTACATAGGTGTAATCACTTTGTAAATGTTCATGGAGCCGTATAGTTAAGATTTGTGTACTTCACTGTATGTATATTATCCTTCAAAAAACAGTTTGTTAAAAAATAAAATACAAAAAATTGATGATATCAAAATGTTGAAACTCCTAGTAGGTTACCCAAATTTCCATGCATGGCAGGGGTGGGGGGTCATGGGGAGGAAGTGGTGATGGTGGTGGTAGAACAAGAACAATGAGAACAACTAGAACACAATAAATAAGTACATAGTAATTGGCATAATCGTTGGAAGAGAGGGAGAGAGAAAATAAAACCCTCCAATCTTCTGTGGTAGATGCTGTAATTGCCCTGGTTCATAGAGAAGGACACAGTTCAAGGGGCTAAATTACTTGCCTAAAGTTACAAGTATCTGTGTAAGAGAGCTGGGGCTGGAATTCAGGCCATACTTTTTTTTTTTTTTTTAAATAATACTTTATTGTATTTTTGGTGAAGGTTTACACGGCAGTTTAGGTTCCAATTCAACAATAGCTACACAAATTGCTCAGTGACGTTGGTTACGTTCTTCACAATGCGTGAACATTCCCAAAATTTCCATTCTAGTTGTTCTGTTTCCATTAATCTAGTTTCTCTGCCCCCTTACACTCTTATTTTATTTTAAAGTAATTGTTGACCATTTGGTCTCATATAGATGATACTTTAAAGGAGCACAGTACCCACAGTACTGTGAGCCAATCTGTTATTTAGCTAAAAGGTGACCCAGGGGCTTATTTTTGGTTCAAGGTTTAAAAGGTATCTCAGGGCAATAGTCTCAGGGAGTCCTCCAGTCTCAACTGGTCCAGTTAAGTCTGGTTTGTTTATTTTGTTTTGTTTTAGGAATTTGAGGTTCTGTTCCACATTTTTCTCCCATTCTATCAGGGTCCATCTATTATAGCCCTGATCATGAGGCCAGATTCTTAATCCCATACTTTTTCATCGCATACAAACATAACCAAGACAAAAATATTCACATTGAAGAAAAGACCTTCTTGGGCTAAAGGAGGACAGATTCCTAAGCTTTGTTTTGTTTTAATAATAATATAACTTCATCTGCAGAGATCAGAAGCAGAGGGGAAAATATTTAGAGGCTATAATATTGGCTAATAACCAAAGACCAGATGTTCATGATGATTCTGATTATTTTACACTGATAGCTTTTACTAAATATTACTACTCTGTGATAAAATTATGTGTTGGTTATTCTTAGTACCAATAAGTCCTTTACAACTTAGAGACAAAAATTTGAAAAGAATGGACCGTGTTTGCTGGAGATAGTAATCTGGAAACTACTTATTTTCTGTATCCCCAAATTTCTCCAAAATGCCATGTACTTTCTTTGCAACTCATTCCATTTTAATTCTTTAAAGAAGACTTTGCAACTGCCAGACTTGAGACTAAAAGATCATTTTTCCTTATAGCCTTTTCGTAATTATGTTTCCTGAAGGTAGATGTGCATTAGATTATTTATTATATTTGGATATGCATATCAGATTAGTTTTACTTTTTTTCCTCTCTTTTTGGCAAAAAGGATGGACCTTGTGATCCTTGCATCTGGAAAATATTCTGCTTATCCAACTGATCTAAGGCTTTGAAGTTTTCCACATTCCTTGAGAGACCTTTTTGGGATGTGTCCCACTTGAGGCCTGAGCTTTTCTACTGCTTTACTGACTTATTCCCTGCCCTAATTTTGATGCAGGAACACTTTTTATGTGAATCATGTAAGCACAAAATTTGGGAAAGAGAAAAAAAGCTAAAAGATGCCATAGTCAGTAAAGCCCCTGCTTATGGAAAGCACGCACACACACTCATTATTTAGTCACTCTCAGGAAGTACAGTACTTTGCAATTTCAACTTAAAGTTAAAAACAAAAACAAAAACCTCAATGCTAGGCTCGTACAAAGAGTTTCTTAATAACCCCCCACCTCTGCCACCTACCTGCTACAACTGGATAGCAGAAAATTTATCTCTAGCTATACATCGGTACAACAGAGACAGATGCATGAGTGGGTATCATTAAATTTACTGCATTGTGTACCCCTTAGGAACCCCAGTGGCACAGTGGTTAAGTGCTTGGCTGCCAACCAGCGTCAGTGGTTAGAACTCACAGCAGCTCCATGGGAGAAAGATGTGGCAGTCTGCTTCTGTAAAGATTCGCAGCCTTAGAAATCCTATAAGGCATTTCTACTCTGTCCTATAGAGTTGCTACGAGTCAGAATTGACTCAATGGCAGTGGATTTGGCTTTGGATTTTTGGTGTACCCCTTGGTGTGTTCCCACCCCTAGTCCCTTTAATCCAAAGTATTTTGCTTTCTTAGCCACAAAATTCTGAGTATCTGGTTTCACCACAGCCAAATTCTCCTACAGTAGAATTTCTCAACCTTGAACACTATGGAATTTGGGCCAGATAATACTTTGTTGTCTGTCCCATGCATTGAAGATGTTTAGTGGCATCTCTGGCCTCTACCCACTAGCTACCAGTATCACACCCCTACCCCAGGTGTGACAACTGACGATGTCTCCAGACATTGCCAAATATGCCCTGAGAAGCAAAATCGGCACCTGTTGAGAACCACTGTCCTACAGAATGACGATGTACTACAGAAATACGAAGAAAGAAGGAATAGCACATTTCTGACAAGTGTATTTTAAGATGTTTTCAAGTATCCAGGAGGATCTTTACATCTAGATAATTCAGACGATATTTCTGTCTAAGAGAGGTAGGAACTGCAACACCGTATCCATCATTTTGAACCTGCTATTTGCTATTGGCTTCACTCTACCTTGCTCTTCTTTCGGAAGTCAGCCTGTAATAATCTTAGTTTCTTTTGAACCTCAGTCAGAACACCAATTTTCTTATCCAGAATGACCAATAACTGGGCAATGCAAAAATCAACATCATGGTTTACCTCATCCACTGTCTCTTGCATGTTCATGGGCCACTGGTTGGATTTCTTCCACGAAATCATAGCATTTTCCATTGAAGGAGTGGATAATGTTTCCATTTCTCCTTCAATCTTCTCTTCCTCACTCCGTATACCACTCTGTATACAAGGTATTTTAATAAATTCATCCGTCTGAAGGGGCATTTCTGAATTACTAGTGTGCTTTTCCAACATTTTTGGTGCCTCATGTCCAACCAGATAGAGGCTACGATGGTGGGGCCTGACGTCAAGAGTTAATTCTTTTACTCTGTTTGCATATCTTAAAGTGTTGAGAGTGTTTTCACAAGAGGCCATCCCTGGAGAGATAGTAGCAATCATGCAAGTGGAGGAGTTTTGGCCTATAAAGGAGTCCCGAAGCACCTGTGTGAGTTTGCTGGCTCTAAATGGAGTATGAGGCTTATTCTGACCCAAAGCCCGGATGCATTCCTTGAGAGCCAGAAGACTCTTGTTAATCTCCGCCCCTTCCAGCTGCCTCTTCCGATTGGCCTTGGCAGTATCTGCTCCTCTTTCATTCCCAGCTAAGTCAACAAGGGAAAACTTGCCATGCAGTTCCCCTTGTGACTTCAAGATGATCTGGAACACTGCGTGACTCCTGGAAGAGTGGGCGTTGACAGACGTCTGTCCAGAAGTCCGGCAGCTGTTCCCTAGTTCCACGAGGTTTAGAATGTCCTCTACACAACACACCTCCTGTTCCCGCAGTCCTACTACCTGCATTTGCTGATTGCCATCTTCAAGGACTTGCAGCGTCTTCTTCCAGTTCAATAAGTCATACACCTTGCCCCCATAAATCTCAAAAAATGTCCCATAAACTTTGAGGTCAAGCATCTCATAAGCGGGGTTTTTGAGCAGGAGGAAAACGTCCTCCGCTACCAGGGCATAGATGCCTTTAGAGCAATCTCGATCCCCGCCTGAAAAGGCTCCACCCATGGTGTGCGTTTTTCCGCTGCCCGTCTGCCCATAGGCAAAGCAGGTGGCCATGCCCTTCCGGAAGATGGACTCCACCAGCGGCTGAGCAGTGAACTGGTACACTAACTCGTTGGAGGCGGTGTCATCAAAGGCATGGTCAAAGCAGAAGGTCTGGTTCTCCAGGTAGCGGGTGAGATCCACCTTCTGCTTGGACTCGTGTACCATGACTACGTTGTTTGAGGGGATAGTGATGATATCCAGGTCCTTCATGATGGTTTCTCTCTGGTTGAGAGGCCGTTTCCTCACGCAGACGCAGATCCGGTGGTCTGCCAGGGGCTCCAGGCCAGACATCTTGCTGCTGTCCAGGTGCCGGCGGTACTCCTCGATCATGCGTATGATCTCGGAGTTGCGGTTTCCCGTGTTGACATCGTGAGCACGCTGGGCTCGAATCTCTAACTGCCGCCGCCTGCGTTCCTCCCGCTGCATCTGCAGTTTCTCGATTTCTCGCACGCAAGTTGACTTTTTCCGTTTCATCAGGCAAGGGTTGCTGGGAACCCCCACGGCCAGGCTGTCCCCTGAGGGCGTTTCATTTTTCTGGGGGATCAACGCGGTCCATCGCGTGGCCATACGCTGATCTCCGATGGCAGAAGGGGGCGCTAGAGACAAAGGGGACAATGGCTTAGGCAGCATGGGGTGTTTAGCTGAAACCAGCGCTGGATTCAGCAGGAATATGGTCTCTAGATCAATCTTCTTGCCTTTTTTGACTTCTTTCTCCACCCACTCTACCGTGACCCAAGCGTTTTCTCTGTTGACCTCTGTGACCACAGCAAGGTGGATCCGCCCGTCGCTGCGTTTTATTGCCACGCAGATGCCCACTTGGACATCTCCAAAGTGTGGCTTTAAGGGTTTCAGGGGCGAGAGGCGCGGGGCAAGTGGGAGACAGACCTGACTGGCCATGGCGAGTGATGGAGGTATCGGGGCTCAGGGAGGCCAGTGGCACTGCCAGGGGCCGTTAGTGTTGGAGCGGCAGGACCTGAGCCCAAGCCAGCCTGAAGTTCTGGGAGCACTGAGTGTGCTCACCGTTTCTGTCTGTCTTTGTGAGCCGCGTGCACGCGGGGACCAGGCTGTTGCCATGAGCGTCACAAAGGGGTGGGGGGAAGGGGCTACAGAGCCCAGGGCCTTTCTCTAGGTAAAGGGTAAAACCAAAGCCAAACCCGTTGCCATGGAGTTGATTCTGACTAGGTGAAGGGTACCAAAAAAAAAAACCAAAAACCAAACCCATGGCCATTGAGTGGATTCCAACTCACAGCGGCCCTATAGGACAGAGTAGAACTACCCCGTAGGGTTTCTAAGGAGCGGCTGGTGAATTTGAACTGCCCACCTTTCGGTTAGCACCCGAGCTCTTAACCACTGCGCCACTACGGCTCTAGGTGAAGGGTAGGGGGAGGAAATGACGTTTGTCGGACTGAGGGCGAGGTGGTGGGAGAGACAAAGGCAGCTGGAACTTAAGAGTTTGTTCCCTGCCACTTAAGGGCAGAGGGAGTAGGGGATGAGGTGGGCCACTCACTGGACCGTAGTGAGAAGGTGCTGGAAACAGAACTTTATGTTTTCCATGGACATTCTTGTGCCTAAGCTTTGGAAACATCATCCATTCTCTTCTGCAGTCTTGACCTGCAATCTCAAGGCTTGATGCTTTAGTTTGAAAATCGATAAATCTTACTTTAAACTTCAACCCTCCAGTGATCAGTGAGAACTAGGGAAAGTGGAGCTGTTTGCAAAAAATCACAGGCTTCTAAGTGCGATAGGATCTCTGATTAGCCTCCTCAAACCTGCCATCTTTCCTCCTTCCCCACCCCCTTCAAAACGTGTTTAACAGTCACAACTTAAAGTTATTTGAGTTTAATGGGACTTCTTATTACAAAATCAAAATGAGTTGTATGTAGCAGGTCATTGTGGTAATTTGCTAATATGGGACTTCATTTGGTGCAGCAGCTGGGTTTGCAAACACAAGATATTTATCGCATTCCAAGTGGCTCTGACAGCTACAAAGTGAGTTTTGTTGCCCTGCAGTCACTACCATTTTCGAGATTAGCTCAGTAATTACTGTTCCCAACTCCTTTAGTAATTCCACTTCTGGCCTCATTATCCATAATTTGGAGAGATAGGAGAGACATTTGGTGGAAAGAGGTAATTCATCTTATACTCCCTCCCCACCCCAAAATATACATGTGTCCTTCAGAAGCTGTTAAGGGGAGAAAAAAGTAGCTAAGACCATAAGAGGCAAAATAATACTTTGGAAATACTGCAAAATTTTCTTGTATGATGATTTGCTTGGGGGGAAAAAATCTACTGCCAGATGAGCCAAGGTGAGGGTTAGGGTGACATCTTATGTTCAACTCCTCCCCTTCCCCAATTCCACATTGTCTTTTGAGCTGCGAGTTTGGTCAAAATTGCACTGATAGCTCCAAAGTAGCATGAAGGAACACAATTTTCTTATATCCCTCCCTAGGACCAAGGGACATTATGGAAATAAATTCTTGTAATAAATTGACTTTTTAAATGGAAAGTTCCTCTCTCCAGTAAATTTAGTGAAACAGATTTTGAAAAGAAGGTGCGGGGAGGAATACTGGATAAGTATGCAGTGTTCTTTCATTTCATGGAGATGCTGGATAAGTATACAGTGTTCCTTCATTTCATGGAGATGCTAGGTAAGTAGGCAGTGTGCCTTCCTTTCAGGGAGATTCTGAATGCTGGTAAGGGGAGGGGAAAAAGGCTTTAAACGGTTCTCTTTTTACAAATATTAAGACAATTTTTGTCTTATTATCAAACACTTCACCAACTCTCCATCATATTAATTGATATGGTAAACATTCCACAAGAAGACATACGGTGTGCATTTTTATCTTGTCTCTGTCTGCTCTTTCATTCTCAAGCTTTATCACTGTCCACACTTAGTCTAAAGTTGAGCCAAACCAAAGAAAGTGCAGTCCTTTAAACACATCAAATTCTTCCAAATTTCTAAATTCTAGCTTGGTGGTCCTTAACATCAGGATGTATCAGAATCACCTGCAGAGGTTGTTAAAATGCAGGTTACGGGGCTCCACACAAAAATTTCTGATTCATTAGGATCTGATCCATTAAAAATTTGCATTTCTAATAAGTTCTTTAAAAGGTTATGCTTATGCACTGGTCCTAGGACCACACTTTGAGAATCACTGTTGTAGTCTTTCTGTCTAGAATAGCCTTCCTCTTCCTCCTGATTTGTCTTAATCTCTCTTACTCATCCTTCAAATTTATCTCAAACCACTCCTGCCTTCTCCCAAAGGCTTCTCTGATCCTGTTGATAATAACCAGGCAAAACAGCATTAAGTTATCTGAGTTATCTCTTCAGAAGAAATAAGCATCTATTACTGGGTGGATGTGGCAGGTCAGTGGCACCCAAAAGCCTCAGTAGAGATTATGAAGAAAAAAAAAAAAAACTCATAGGTTTATATAGAAGTAATCTATTTGCAGAGAATTGTTTAGATGCTTCAACAATTTTGATAATCCAGAACTTCATTTGGGGTAATATCTTTTTTATATCACTGGATGTAAAATTCAGAGCCCTGGTGGCTCAGTGATTAAGAGCTACGGCTGCTACCCAAAAGGTCAACAGTTCGAATCCACTGGCCACTCCTTGGAAATCCTATGGGGCAGTTCTCCTCTGTCCTATAGGGTTGTTATGAGTCAGAATCCACTCGAGCGTGAGTTTGGTTTGGTTTGGAATGTAAAGCTCAAAATTCGTTTTATGGAATTTATTCTGAGGGACCTGATCTTTAAGGAAACATTATGAATTTTTAGTAATGAGATAATAGGTGAAGCCTAGATACATGTTAACATATTCTCATTGGCCATGGGCTGGGGAGAGGTGGAAGGGGATCCAGATTTGGTAGATGAGCAATTACTCCAGGTTAGAGCTTGAAGCTCAGCTATACGTTTTGACTGAAGATAACTAAGTAATAAATATATGCAAAGTGCTTACCATGTGCCAATTCCTATGACAAAGGAATCCAGGCTTCAAGAACCTTACGATTTATACATTTTGTTTATGTACCTACTAAGAAGACTATCAGTGAGCCCTGGTGGTGCACTGGTTAAGTGCTCGGCTACTAACAAAAAGGTTGGTGGTTTGAACCCACCGGCAGCCCTGTGGGAGAAAAGACCTGGCTGTCTGCTCCCATAGAGATTACAACCTAGAAAACCCTGTGGGGCACCTCTACTCCATCACATAGGGTCGCTATGAGTCAGTATCCACTCGACGGCAAACATCAAAGACTATGCCTTGACAAGCAACTGAGTGATATCTCCTCTTCATTTCAGATCCCCACCTTTTGTTTTTCAGAAGTCTAACAAGTGTCAGGTGTAGACCCATAATAGAAGGTTGTGTGGGTGGAAGAAAGCACAGGAAATGAGCTTAGTAAATTTCATTTCTTAATTACAGGCATATTCCCAGTGTAGGGCCTGTCAGAGTTACTTTACAGCAGAGAATGTGATTTCTAGTCTCATTTTAAATATAAATCTCTCAGGAGAAATGCATCAAATAAGCTCCTTATTTGATAGCACTGTTTTAATGGACATCTAGCAGTCCAGATGTCAGTTTGTTTGATCACTCTGGGGGTCTGTACTTCTCCAGTATATGGGTACAACCAGAGGTTATTTCATTCTTCAGAGGAGTTCAGTAGGTGTCCCCAAATATTTTTGAATAAATGGAATTCATAATTTTCAGTTAAAAAGTTTTTTTTTTTTTTTTTTTTTGGAGCAGAGAGGTACCTTACTAAGCTTATGCCTAAGAAAACAAGGGAAAAAAATTAACTTTAGAATGAGAATAGTATTTAACAATACAGCTATGATCTTTGACTTCTAATATTTCAACATTTCCCCATGTACTAAACTGGTCCACACTGCTCCCGTCCTCTCACTGATTTAATAGGCAGAAATTGTTTCTATGACAATGACATCAACTCAAAGCCATCTTTCTTGGGCTTACTAAAAATTATGATGCTTAATTGGGGATACCTAATTATATGTTCCCCCCATGCGAAGAATTGACACCTTCGAACTATGATGTTGGCAAAGAATGTTGAATATACCATGGATTGCCAAAAGAATGAACAAATCTGTCTTTGAAGAAATACAGCCAGAATGCCCCTTAGAAGCAAGGATGGCAAGACTACGTCTCACATACTTTGGACATGTTATCAGGAGGGATCAGTCCCTGGAGAAGGACATCATGCTTCGTAAAGTAGTGGGTCAGTGAAAAAGTGGAAGACCCTCAAGGAAATGGATTGACATAGTGGCTGCAACAACGGGCTCGAGCATAACAACGATTGTGTGGATGGTGCAGGACCGGGCAGTGTTTTGTTCTGTTGTTCATAGCGTCGATGTGAGTCAGAACTGACTCAATGGTACCTAACAACAACAACATATATCTATTTATTGTGGAAGTTGGTCTATAGCATCAGCCCAGGTTGTCAAGCTCACTCTTGACAATTGCCAGTGTCTTACTTTAAACTCATTTATGCTGGTCGCCTTGTAGCTTTCATTTCTATTTAGTAAGCTGAGAAGAGAGGCTTGGGTTTTGTTATATTCTACCCATAAGTGCTCTTTGCTTTGTAAGTCACACTTAACTTACAGTAATCATGGTACTTATAACCAAAGTATGTGCCTGTGGAGTTCAGCTACAGCTCTTTTAACTTGAAAGCCATGTGCTACATTCTTTGCCTCCAGAGAACCTTCTTTAGATTATTTAGTTGAGAATATTTAATTTTCTGTGGAACAAAAACAATAAGGAAAACATAATACTTACATGTGAGAAAAAAATTGAAGGAACTTGGATGTTTGTCCTAGAGAAGGTTTGAGAGACAAATCTTTCCACATATGTTTGTAATTGAAAGGTTATCTAAGGGAAGATAAACAAA